CATCTCGGTGGCCGCCATTTGAACCAATTCCAATTGGGCCTGCCTCTGCGCTCTGGAGAACTCCTTCTCCAGGGCCTGGTGCCTACGGCTGGCTTGCTTTTCCGCCAACTTGGAGGGCCTCTTGAGCGAGTGTTTTGTCTTCGCTTTGCACTTGCCTGCCGCCTTCTGGTCAGAAGGTGTGTTGCAGCCGTAATTGGGAGATGGAGGGGTCATGCTCATGGATTGAGGCAACGAGGGTCCCTCCATTCCGCTTGAGCAGTCCCAGAAAAACTGAGAAGACGCTCAGGCAGGCAAGTATTGGCGGGAGCGAAATTGGAACAAGTACCAGGACTGTTCCCCTGATCACCCGACCACAACAAAAATATTCTCTCTGGGCTAAGGTCACGGTAGCTGAGGGAGGTACCGAAGGCACGTTTGGAACCACTCTTTGGGTTCCGCCCGGAGGCCTTAGGTGACCAGGCAACGTGCACCAGTAGAAAAAAGAAAAGGGAGGCAAAAAATATCAGTGGCGACCTCAAAAGGGTCTGTAGGCCTGACTTAATACACAACAAAAGGTATCAAATGGCAGTCACCTAGAGCGGAATTTATTCTTATTAATATTATTACTATTATACTAATAATAGGAACAATAATAATAATAATAATAATAATAATAATATAATAACAACAACAACAATAACGGTGATGATGATAATATTGTGTGTTCTGCCTTTAGGCCTGTTGGCCTTGCAGTTGCTTAATTTTTAGCTTTAATTAATTTTTTTTTAAATTTTTTTTATTATTATTTTTAAATTTATTTATTTATTTTTATTATTATTATATCTTGTCCTATTATTATATGTGTGTATCGGGGGTGGAGCGCTGGCTGTGCGCTCCTATTCCGCCTCTATCAGTGCTTCCAGATATGATGTGGAGCTTCCTTAAGCTCCGTTTGCCTTCCTCTGGCAAGAGATGGTAGCTGCGGCTGCCAGGGATTTAAATTTGGCGTGCTGGTGACGTTTTAAGGGAATCCCAGTCAGGGATTGCCTTTGTTGCCTGAAAGTGGCAACTAAAATGGCGCCCGCGGTTGCCCTGGGCTGCTAGGGAATCTCCGATGATCCGAATTCAAGTTTGAATCCGGACCTGGAGATTGTTATTTTTCCCCCAATTTGAGGAAAAAATCCCTTAGAAGGTTGGGGAGAAAAGCTCAGCAAGTGGTCTCTGCTGATGCCTTTTTTCCCCCCTTTTCCACCTCCAGAGCCCTGGGGCTAACTGGGATCCGTGGGGAGTTTCCCCCCCCCACACCCCCTTTTCCAATTTTAATATAAGATCAGGGATGATTCCAAGGAAAAATTAGTGGTTGTGGAAAAGGTTCAGCAAGTAGTCTCTGCTGATGCCTTCTTCCCCCCCTTTCCACCCCCCAGAGCCCTGGGGCTGGCTGATATCTGTGGGGAAGATATCAGCCAATCCCCTTTTTAATTTTAGGTTTGAGATCAGGACTGATCCCCAGAAAATTTTGTGGTTACATTCCTATAGGTGGCAATTTTTTTTTTGGAAGGGGAAGCCAATTATCAAGGGATAATCAATCAATGGATTTCTTTGTCTAACCTGATAAGCTGAGAGCCACGCCAAAACGAGTCTTCTTGAGCAGAGACCAAGTTAAGAATGGACTCTACAGGAAGTGGGGGCGTGTCAAGTTTTGGCTACTTGGTCTCAAGAGCAGGCAGACAGAGAAAACCCATCCGTGGATTATCCATCTCCTGTACTGGAGAAAAGCTTTCTTTCTGAGAATTTATATCAAGAGAAGCTGGAGTAAACTTAATACTACATCAGTGGCTTATCATGACTATCGCAATCTGATGAGTTCATGCATAACATGACTCTCATGAAATCATGGAGATTTCATCTTCCAGCTATTTCAGTTTTAAAGCTAGATCTGGTTCATGTGTTTGCTAACAATAATTTTAATTCAAGTTACACTTGACAAGCCTTCATTGACTCGTGATAGAAAAAGCCACACAAAACAGTATAGGATTCACCATAACCTAACTTGGCCTGTTAGCACTGTTACAATTGTATCCAATCAGCAAAAAAGTGGAAATTGGAGGATCAAATTGAAGTTGATATTTTATTAATTAGATGAATTCAGAAACAACTTAACTGGAGTAGTACTCTTAATAATTAAGACATAAGAAGAAAACAAATATATCATAAATGCAGAAAAATGCTCTTTTAAATTCAGTCTCTTTGCATTATCAATTTGATAATTGTTAGAATAGCAATTTCCTAGTTCTGAAAAAGCTTAGAATGCACTTTATTCCAACGTTATAATAAAATTTGGTCTGTAGTTCTTTTTTAAAAAATGAACATTTTTATTTTATTTTATTTTTTAAAAATGATGCTAAGGACTAACAAATAAATCTGAGTCACTGCTGTTATACGATTGTCTACAAAGAAAAACTGTTAATTTTTAGGTTATGTAAAGACTTGGGAATCGTGATATCCTTCTAGTCCCCAGCATTTCAGTTTGCAATTCAACTAATCAAACTGTATTACAAAGACAGCAACATTTCTACTTGCTGTATCTCTTTATGATAAAATAAAAATGAAAGAATAAGCCTTTCTGTATCAATGATTGTGATAATGTTAGTTTATACTTATATTTTGTTGAATAATTAAAAATATTTCACAAGTGCAAAAACAGTGATCGCCTTCCCATTTAACTGCAAATACTTTAAATGTGAAGCATCAATACTTTGGGATAAAATTTAAACACACAAAAGTCATTTGTATATATAAATAGTGCCAGAAAATATAAAACATATCTATAGCTTATTTGTTATAACTATAACATATTATAAATATAATATGCTCTTCTATTGGTATGACCAATTAATATAACTGTTAATAGAAATTGCAAGTGAGAGGGTTTCTGATAACTTATATGGCTGGTTACACAAACACACACACACACACACACACACACACACACGCAGTATATATATACATTTTATGGTAATTAAACTCAAACAGCCAGTCAATATAAGTTATCAGAAACCCTCTCACTTGCAATTTCTATTAACAGTTATATTAATTGGTCAAGTTATACTGATAGAAGATATTATATTATTTATAATATGTTATAGTTACAACTTATAAACTATAGTTATAAGTCACATTCGCTGGCATTATTTATTCTTAAAAATGTACCAAGGTACTAGTGAGGAAATGTTTACAAAGCAGAACTGTCAATTGGAGATGCTTTTCTTTCTGCCAGTCTACTGTTCTAAATTGTATTTTGAACATTGGCAACTTTATATGAAAGTTCGGGTTTCTACAAAACATAATTTCTAAACTGGAAGGTGCTGATGTGCTTGTGAAGTGATGCTACTACAGGCAGTGCTCAACTTACGATGATAATTGAGCCCAAAATTTATGTTGCTAAGTGAGAAATTTGTTGAGTTTTGCCCCATTTTACGACTTTTCTTGCCACATTTGTTAAGTGAATCACTGCATTGTTAAATTAGTAACACGGTTGTTAAGTGAACCTGGTTTCCCCATTGACTTTGCTTGTCAGAAAGTTGCAAAAGGTGCTAAGGTCACCCAGGGACAATGCAACTGTCATAAATGTGAGCCAGTTTTCAAGTATTTGAATATAAAACATGTGACCTTGGGGATGCTGCAACAGTCATAAGTGTGCATAATGGTCATATGTCACTTGTTTTCAATAATGTTCTAACTTTGAACAGTCACTAAGTGAACTGTTGTAAGTCAAGGACTACGTATACTAATAGACTTCACACTTTCTTGAGTGTCAAGTATGTTTAAAAGTGACCTAAAGTGGAACCTGAATAGACCTATTCAAGCAAATAGCTAACTAGCCCCTAACATGCTTAAAGAATCAAATAGCAGCCATTTTGGGGAAAGAAAAATCTCCTTCAGAAGCATTGGTCAATCAAAGGGCAAAGAGTTGGTTTCATTGTCCTCAAGAAACAAACACGGATCTTAAATCCACTGTGTACATTGGAAAATGCCTTAGAAGAAATTAGTATCTGTTTAACACATGTACTAATTCAGCATTAAAATATACATTGCAGCCATTTTCCACTGGAATATTTGCCAATGATGAAAGCAAAATAGAAATAGTTACATTATAGAAACCACACATATATCAAGAGCTAACTTATGGGACTTACAAAAAGGCCAGACAGTACCACACTACAAAAGACACTAGTACAAAGAGATGCAACTGAAAAACTTAAAAGAAAAGATGTTATACATATTTAAGAGTTTTAAGAAGCAGAATGCAAGTATGTTCAACTTTATCTCATTATTACAAATGAAACATGGTAAAAGTAAATATTATACTAGATAACAAATACAAAGCATCATATACTTGGGTACCAATATGCCTTTAGATACCTCAAATAGGCATTTGTCAGATTAGCTATCCTGCCTGCCTGATTTTATTTATTTATTTATTTATTGGCATTAGGTTGTAATTAGCTGGCAGGCTGTAATATTGTTCTGATTTACCATAATCACAGGAATTCTTAGAAATTAATACAACTGATAGCTTTAACTCATTTTTCATTTGGAAGTGTGCTCACTAGATCAGAAAATAAATGGTAACCTGAAAAAGCAGGGATTATATTCTTTGGTAGCCGTGAAAAACTTCACCAGTTTGTCTTTTGACAAATGGGTATTTGTAGTAAGGCCTGCCAAGACATCCATTTTGTGAAAGCATCAATACCATATTCTCAACATTCCAATGTGTCCAACCAACCTCAACAATTCTGTACAGTTGTATTTGTTCAACCTGTCTCAGTTCATTAGTAACTGTATTTACTATTTGCTAATTGTACTCAGAATAGCATTAGCATAAAATGATCTCAAAATGTAAAACACCCAAAATATAGATGACCTGCAAGAAGTTGAAATTTCTTATAAGCCAATGTAGACTATGTAGAGAACAACCACACTAATAGGCAGTGCTACATCTAAGTATTCCAGTTACTTACCAATGCTTCCCTTCTCCTGATCTTCTCTTTCAGTAAACATAGGTTGGTTTGGTAAGCTATTTCTAGAGCGAGTGACTGATTCTAGTTGTGAAGCCCTTCCCAACAGAGATAGCTCATCAAGCACCTCTCCCTCTTTGGCCTCTAAGTCAGATTTAGAAGTTGTTAATTGTTTTATTGTATCTGGCATCATTAGATTTGGATCATTCAAACAGGCTACTGCACCACTATCCAAGCTTAACACCCTGGTACGACTCTTGGCACTGTTTGTACTGTGAGTCTGTCGGGTTGAATGTTTTTTGACAATTGCATCAGTGCCCAAGTGAATTTTGTAAGAATTTTCCAAGTCTGTGCCTCTCTCTTTGGCAATATATTTTGTCTTTAGGGCATTAAATTTTCCCTCAGGAGACTGGCATGAATGAGAAGTTGTGCTGGAAGAGCTATCACTGCTGAACTGGTGGGCTGACTGCATGCTTGAAGTTCGGCTCAAATCACTTTGATCACTTGAGTCTTCATCATGGCAAAAACCTGTACTGTGGGGCTTGGTAGAAGATACCCCTCGGAAGGAAATATATTCTTTGTGTCGACTTGTGTCAAAACTACTAGCCCGTTTTTTCCCTGTCCTTCTCCTGCTGGATTTTTGAGCTGAAGCTGTCCGATGGATTAAGCTACATGATTTAGGTCGCACATCCCCCCCTTTCTGCTTTTCTACCATTTCCTTAAAAGTTCTTGAGTCAACCATGGAAGATTTCTCTTTATGTTCATCTCTTTTCACAGTAGGGTTTCGGGGAGACTGTTCTGTTTGTGTTGTTAGTTCGTTAGCATGAGGATTCTTATTTGCTTCTTCTGAAGCAGAGGTACTAAGGGCCCTCAGATTGTGCATCTCCTCTGATGCATTCAGGCATTCTTCTACTTGAATGCAACTGCTGGTGTTAGTTTCAGCTATAGTTCTTTCCGTACTCATCCTTTTGTTAGGAGCAATATGACAGTCATCAGAATCAACGGCGTAGTTTTTTTTCTTGCTGCTTTTTTTCTCCTCTCTAGGTGACACTTCATGCTCTGACAACATGCTTTCTATATGAGTAGAACTTGTCTGCTCACTTTTATAGCTGCTGATGGTACTGATGGTGTCACGATCAGTTCCACTACAATAACTCTCTGTTGAGCCACTACTTCTTGTACTCAGGCTTCTCAGGCTATCCGCACTTTTATCTGCTTGTAAAGATTTACTCTTGCCGCTTTTGACTAGCAGTTGTGGACTGCTACATTTTAGAATATCATCTAGTTGAAATACACCAGAAATACATGAGTTCTCAGCTAATGATTCTTTGGATCCTGTTCGAGGCTTGCAAGCTTCTAGTTCACTGACAGTATCCAGCCCCCGCCTTTGCTGATACAGAGGAAAGTCATTTAGTGATACATCTGGAAATGCAACTGCTGAACTGGAAGTCCTTGGCACACCTCGTGGTCTATGATCTTTCCTATAGGAGTTTGAATGCAAAGAGACAAGAGAAGCCATTTCAGTGTCACATGCATTAGACACAGAAGGATCTAAATGCTGATTAGGAAGGCACACTTTATCAGTGCTGTCTCTTGATAGCTCCTGTGCAGTTGACAATGAGGGCTGAATGGACACAAAGGACTCAACGGAGATCAGATGAAAAGTCTTCCGATCAGCTGCCAAATCTATTTTTTTTAAAAAATGAAACAAAATTAATAAGTATGCAGGCAAATGCTTATAGTAGTTTCCTTCAAATGAATGTATTTCAACAGGATATAAACAGAATAGTATATTCACATATTACACTAAGAAGCTGTGATAAAATATCTTTTATTCTAGGTTTCTTTTTCAGCTAACGTGTACATACAGAATCTGCTCTAACAAATATGACTAAAATCCACAGTTCTTATCACTTTCTTAATTGTTCACCATTCAGCAAATCTATGCATCAGAATATCACAGTCTACCAAAACCCTAAACAATGATAACCAAAACAACTATTATATGGAATTAGTGCAAGGACCAAAAAGAGATAGAATAAGCATTTTACAATGTACAGGTAGTTCTCACTTTACAACCATTAATTCAGTGACCATTCTAAGTAACAGTGGCTGAATGGACTTATGACCAGTCTCAAAGTTATAGCTGTTGTAACATCCCTGCGGTCACATGATCAAATTTTGGATGCTTGGGGGCCCACCTGCAATAACCACAAAGACATTGCAAGTCCACACACCCCCAAATCACCTATTTCCCACCCATCTATGCCTTTCCTGCAGCCACAGAGCAGTGGTGAACCAAGATGCTCTGAGTTGCAGTGCCCAGCTTGGTGGGCATCAGTCAAAAGGGCAGAGATGGGGACATAGGCGGATGGGGGAAACTGAAGAGGCAGTCCCTTACTTATCAAGAGCAGGAGATGGGAAAGTAACAGGAGCTTACCCTGTCACACAACGCTTGGGTCTCGAACCTGGACTGTCAGCTTTCCAGCTGACAAGTTCAGCATATTTGACCATCGAGCCATCGTGCCCCCATAGTTAAATAATAAAATAATATGAACAAAAAAAATCTTGTAAGAAATCAGTCTTGATAATTACAATGAGCTAATTTCTTGATGAAGTCCAGATAACAAAAACGAGTCATTAATATTGCATGAATGTTATGCTAAGTGCATTAACTCACTTGACTGCAGATCTGGAAGCATACAACATATACCATATGGATATGTGTGAAAATCACTTCATCGTTCATTATAGAGAAGTCTGTTTAATTCTCTTTGCAAGCTACTTTCATTAAGATTCATATCACTAGCATATGAATCCACAAGGAAAAACACTTATGACACATCTAACACCCTCTGAGGTTTGCTAGGGGAAAAAAAAAGATTTTAGAATAGCAAAAGACTTCAGATGTAATCACCGTAATTTTAGATTTGATTATATAACAGATAAAATGATCAGTTAATACTGCAAGCTGCAGTTAAATGACTATTATTTTGCAAATAAAGAATTAAGACTGTTATTATTTGTTTTACTAAAAAAGTATTCATGGATATAACCAGTGCTTTTTTTGTAAAAAAAAAAAAAAAAAGGTGCCAGAACTCACACATGTCATACAAACCGCCTTGCCTACCCTACAAGGTTCCATCCAAAAAAGGTGTCAGAACTCCGTTCTGGGCGTTCTATGACAAAAAAAGCCCTGGATATAACACACAGCAGGTTGCACAGGACATGCATACCTTGCTCTTCGTTCCCTTCTTTACAAAGACTAGAACTTTGTCCCAGACTCAGACTGATATCATCAGAGGTCTTTGCAGTGTCTGTATCACCTAAGTAATAGAAATAACGTGTTAGTTCAGAAAGCATCATCCTGTACTCCTAAAAGAAAATAGAATTTAAGAAGTGTTTTTAATTCTCTACCTATAGTTATAATGATCTGAATTGTACACTCTAATCTGTTAGTGCATCACATCAGCAGGGACACTGTTGCATATTCCTGTTGTATTGATGTAAGACTATATTGTGACAGCACAACTAAGAAAACCAAATGATAATAGGGCATCTCCACCATGTTAAGTTACATTACGTTTCTGGCTAATATGCCTGTGCAACAACAAAACTGATGAGAGAAAAGACAACATCGTGAAAGACTAAGAGAGAGTTTTCTGGTGTTATATTCGCTATTCAAGAAGCTGCAAAATTTACAACAGGGAGGCCAGTTGCGTTCTGTGAGACCTCATCATATACAGAGCTTACCTTACTATTTCCAGTGAACAGTCCCAGATAATCCCTACAAGAGGATCGCATGAAAACTACTCTCATATACGATATGGTGAAGATATACATTGCAAATGAAATCCCAAATGGTCAGTACATCTTAAAACCAAAATAAGTTTCAGCCTTCGTATATGGATGAAAGAACACTGAATAACACTTGTAAATGCACTGTCTGCAATTATACTAATGACTTGTAATTTTTGAATCCCTTCTTCCATACAAAATCCCACACACTGAGGACACAGAGCAATCAGCAGGGATTAAGGACATGTTTTAATGAAATTCCTTATAGCAAGAAAACAAGCTCATTCAACATTATATCCCCAAGAAGATTTGGTTCACCTTATGCATTATTTAAAGCAAACTAAACTGAAGGTCCTGACCCTATGCGAAGTGATGAAGATAGAAAATCACCAAATGTCTTCTTGGGGGCTCCAAGCCCTGAAATCCTCTATATTTTCTCCTAAGTTGGGAAATGTTCCTAACTAATTGTTAAGACTATTATTTTCCAGAGCAATTAAATGCTGATGATGGATGTGGTATTAACTATGTTTTATTTATATATTACTGTAAACCTCCTCAGGCTCAACTAAGTGAAATATAAAATTTATAATATCTTTGCATAAACAAACAAACAAACAAACAAACAGTTATATTTTCAAATGAAACATCAAAGTAACTTTTAACCAAAAACTGGAACAGATTTAGTGCATCAAATAATACTGCAAGGAGGGGAAACCTGTATGGCCTGACCTGACTTATTCCAACTTTATGAACATGGAAGTTGTGATCTGAAGAAGCGCTATAGAGATTGGGTTGGTAGTTCATTTAAATATATTAGGAAACAAGAATTATTACAGAGCTTAAGATGAAATGATATCATCTTTAATTACTGGATATATTGCCAAAGGCATGAATATGGTCTATAAATATCATTACATGTAAGATAACTAGAGCTGTGAAATTTCAAACCAGTTTCTACTTGGAAATACTTTGGAAGACAATCTAGAATACTGTAATAGGTTTCAAATCTGGAAAAAGCTTGCTATTGCAACAGGAAAACAAAGGGAAAGAATTCCTGACATATCAATTTTATGGTTAAAAAATAAATAAAATTTAAATTAAAGATATTCTGTTTTTTTTGTCAGGATTCAGGGATCAATAAGAATTTTTCCGTTTCTTATATTGTGCTTTATTTTTCACCTATCAACAATGTAATGGAAAAGCCTTTTAATACTAATACTTCTACTGAGGTTATTCAAAGATGAAAATTAGAATGTTACCTTTAATGGTAGCTGCAGTTCCATGACGAGATAAACCTGATCCAATCTAAAATGAAAGAAATAACCTAATGAGTTGCATCAGTAATTTACCTTAGGCAAAATTGGGATAACTGGAGTAAATACCTGAAATCTCCTTTATTAATAGAACAGGAATGGTACTTTTAAGCTTTTTTAAAAAAATATTTTGTGAACAACAATTAATCATATAATTGCTTTTTTCTCCTAAATCATGATGCTATTTATGCTCCTCTCATAAAATGTATTTTGCAATTTCAAATAATGTGAATTAATAGCACTCATAACAATAATGCATAAATAATTGCAATTAGAAATACCTACAAACATCCAAATACGTGAATATAAAATGATTCAAAGAATCCAATCAGTCCAGTGTTAAACAACTACAAAGAATAGCAACAACAATAACTATTTCATTATCAGAATAACTTCAACAAATTATGTAAATAAAAAAAAAAACATTTTGGAAGAATTTAACCAACATATGATCTTGCAGTAGACAATAGTTTTAAAATCCTGGAAGTTGACAAAAAGCAAACAAAGCAACAGATTCTCAATAAACTAAAACAAATGAGGATAAAATAAAAATAACCATGAACTTTAAAGGGTACTATTATTTGGCTCATATTTCGGCTGAACTTAACTAAAAAAATGTGTCCCCAAACAGTTCTTACCTGGTTATTTAGATCTAGGCCAGCAAAAGAATTTCGAGAACTGCATCCTACTGGAGGTGTGGCTTCTCGAATAAACTCTGACATCTCAATCCCTCCCCCTGGATCACTAAAAGATAAAGAATTTTTAATGTTTAAAGTATTGTTTTAGTTATCTATGTCAAATTACACCAAAGGATACATTTGAAGCTTCTACAATTGCCAGTATTATTAATACTCAGTTCATATACTGAAAATGCACAAAATGCAATGTTGCAATCCAAAATCTTCAATTAGCAAAATATCAAAAGAGTTGTTCAACCTCCTCTATGGCCAAATAAGAATAAACTTTTTTATACTGTTATACTATTTTGTACCCAAGCTTTTCATAAAAATGCCCACAAGATGACAGAGTCTAAAAAGAGTGCAAAGGATCTGTGAATTTATAAGATTCTAAATAGATATGCTAAAGAAAAGGTGTACACTAAAACACTGTATAGTAGAGATATAAACATCCAAGATACCTTAGAAGATATTCCCTACATACAAGAACCTCTAGTTTTAGAAGATGAAGTAAGATCAGCACTTCAGTCATTACCAAGTTGGAAGGCTACAGGAACTGGTGAAATAAGCCACAGCAATATGGATAGCGACAGTAAAAGAAGAATCAGTAAAGGTTCTAACCAGACTGGAGAATGATACAGTGGCCAATAGACAGGAGAAGAGCCTTTTCTGCTGTGGCTCCCTCATTCTGGAACATTGTGCTGTTTAAGATCCACCATTATACTCTTGGCTTTCTGAAAAGGCCTGGAAATCTGTCTCTGCCTATTGGCTTGGGGCTCCAATAGGAGGGTCCTACTCTGGAGATGGTTAATAGACTAAGAAGAAGATCCCAGCTCCACCCTATTTGGTTCCCATCTTCTGTTGTTGTTGTTGTTGTTGTTAACTTTTAGTGTTTGGTGTTTTAATTTTGTATTTATGATGTTGTAAGCCACACAAAGTTGCTCATCAATGAAATGGGCAGCATATAAATTTAATAAATTAAAAATTAAAAATACCAAAGTAGAGTGTTAACAGAGTATGTAAACTATCATACTATATCCTTAATTGCTAGCAAAATAATGCTTAGGAGCATCCAATGCAGAGCCCTACCTGGAAAAAGAGATGCCAGATGTTCAAACTGGCTTTAGAAAAGGTCAAGAAACCTGAGATATTATTTGCTAATGCAGACTGGATAACTGAGAAAGCCAAAGAACACTAAAAAGAAGATACTTGCTTCATTGATTATATAAAAAAGCCTCTGATTGTGTTGATCATGCTTAAAAAAATGGGACTCCCAGAACATCTAATTGTCCTCGTCAAAACCGTATATACAAGTCAAGAAGCCATAGTACAACCTATATGGTGAATCTTCACAAAAGATGGATTGGAAGATGAGGATAGGCACTTCTGGGGAAGAAATGGCAAACTGAAGATGTCTGTGCTAAAAACAGAGCAAACAAATGTGGCAGAATGAAGACCGAGGAAACAGACAGGCTCTTCCTAATTCCTCTTGGGACAAGGAGAGGACTTGAGATCACTCACAATATTCCAGGCAGTTGCTCCAGAAGAGGAGACCACAAGTTAACAATCTTCTGGACTCACATCTCCTGCTCAAAGAGCAGATGACAGGCATGACTAGGACATCTTTTGCACAACTCCAATTTATCCACCAGCTGCAACTTTTCCTAAATCATGACTCCCTGCACTTGGTTATTCAAGCTCTGGTCATCTCTTGTCTGGACAACTGCGATGCACTCTACATGGGGCTTACCCTTGAAATCCATTTGGGAGCTTCAGCTGATGCAAAGTGTGGCAGTGAGAGTAGTCTTTGGGGCCCCCAGAATGGCCCATATTACACTTTTTCCCACAAACTTCACTGGCGACTAGTCTGCTGAGCGCAATTTTGTTTGTTTGTTTGTTTATGGCAGGGATCTTCAAACTTGGCCCTTTTATGACATGTGGACTTCAACTTCCAGAATTCCTCAGCCAGCGTGCCTGGCTGAGGAATTCTGGGAGTTGAAGTCCACAAGTCATAAAGGGGCCATGTTTGAAGACCCCTGGTTTATGGCCACCTACTCATTCATAGTGACTCTGGGTGGCTTACAAGCAGTAAGAACACAGTATAGAAAATAAAAAACAAAAAATAATAACCCTCCCACCCTATCCCTGGGGACAACACACAGTTGATTGAGCCATTTGATGGGCTCTATCCCACTCTGGGTTCCCCAGATCTTCAGGGCCTTAAGAAAGAATGTCAGAGTGGGGGCAAGTTTAATTTCTGTAGGCCTCCTTATTCCAAAGAGAGGAAGCCATCACAGAGAAGGCACTTCTTCTGGGTCCCGCCAGATGTATCTCCTTAGAGGAGGGGACCCGCAACATTCCTTGCCTCCCCACTCTACTAGATGTAACAGGCAAGAGATGGTCCTTCAGATAACCCGGTCCCAAGCCATGAAGGGCTTTAAAGGTGACAAACAGCACCCTAAATTGTAGCCGGAAGCAAATTGGCAACCAATGAAGCTCCTGCAGGAGAGGTAACACATGTGCACACATGCAAAAACCATGCAGGTTGCTGCATATTCAACCAACTGCAGCTTCCAGATGCTTTTCAAGAGCAGCCCTACAATCCATATAGAGTGCATTGCAATAGTCAAGATGGGAGGTAACTAGGGCATAAGTGACTGTGGGTAGGGATTGTTGGTCCAAGAAAGGTGCACAACTTGCAGGTGGACGAAGGCTCTCCTGGCCATAACTGCCATATCCTCCTCGAGCAGGACTGTGAATCCAGGAGAATCCCTAGATTACACATTGGGACAGTGCCATCCCATCCAAGACCAAAGGTAGCAATTTTCTATGGACCAAAGAACCCCAAACCCAGAGCCACTCAATCTTGCCAGGGTTCAGTTTCAGCCCACTGCTTCTCATCCAGCCCCTAAGAGCCTCTAAGCACAGCGAGTATCATCAGCATATTGATGATATCTCACTCCACGGTGACGGATGATCTCACCCAGCGGCTTTAAGATATTGGTTATGACCTTTAAAGCCCTTAAAATTTTGCCTTTATTTTTGCAATCGCATCATCCTGCTGACTCATTATCAGTAGCATTCAACTACTACTCCAAAGTCTTTTTCTCAAGTACTGTACTGCACTATTGCCACGCCAAACAACCTCAGTGCTATATTGCTGCATTTGATTTTTGCTTTTCAGATGTATAACTTTGCTGTTTTCTATATTCAATTTCCTTCCATTACTTTCAGTTCGTTTCTCTAACTTATCAAGATTGTTGTTGGTTATTAGCTATCCCACACATTTGTTATAATCTGCACTAATGAATATATAAGAACAGAGGACTGAACCATATGGCTCTCTGTTTGATATTCTTCTCCTGTTGATGATGAATCCTTCATATGATCTTTTTGAGCCAGCTATGTACCCACTTAACTGTCATGCTTTAGAATCCACCAATCAAAATCTCATGTGTACTTTTAAGCAGCCGCTGAGTAGGCATTAATGTTCCTTGGGCTACTAACATCCTCTGTATCCTCAGCAAGAAATCAGTTGCTCGGACTGAGAGGAATAAAAAAGTAAAAAGTTTCCCACACACTCACTACAGGCACTTTTTGTGGCAAAAGTCATTCATGCTGAAAAATGAAGGGACCTGTTTGAAAATCTTGGGTTTTCAAGTGTTACTCTTTAAACTCTGTATATAATAGATCCAGGGTGAATATATCCTTATGAAGACCGCAAATGTAAGCATAATGCAACCCACAATAACACATAATGATTTTAGCTCAATAAGCAAGGACAATTCTGCGTATCATTTTCTACTACTTTCAACAGTTGGAATAGGACATTTATAATTGAATAGATACTGAACAAGAACTTTGAAGAACACAAGCCAGAATAATAAGTGTAAAGGCTAATCCAATCTTCTATAACTCAGTAGTTTATAAGATGCACAATAAAAACACAAACTTCATTAAAGGTCCAGGAAAAATCAGTGATTATTGGGGGGGGGGAACCCACACAGGACCTATCACCAACTTTAAACCAGGACCTGAGGACAGAGACACTTTTTAAGAGCTTATTGAAATGCAAGGAGAGCAAGAATTATTTTATAATTCTTTTGTTCTGTTCTATTTTCAGCTTGTACAAATTGGAATTCATTTATTCATTTTAATTTATAACCACACTGTTGCCAAAGTAATTCTAGGTAGCAAACAAAATATAAAATTCATCAATATAAATAACCAACTAAACACATAAATAAGAAACAGCAGCCAAGAATAAAACACTGAAATAAAAATAATGAACCAAGTCTCACTAACTACCAATCCTCACACATAAACCAACAAATCTTAAATGCTTTCTAGAATGCCAGCAGGATAAGGGATCATGCTAATTTCAGGTGGTAAGGTGTTCCAAAGGCACTACAACTGTAAACTTATACCCCTGCTCCTCCCCTCCCCAATGACATTTTTAAATTGACTGGACCCAAAGCATTTCCCTGCAAGCAGATTAATAGAGCAGGTAGAAACAATCACTGAGAAGTGGTCCTTCAAATAGCTTGGTCTCATGCCATAAAGAGTTTTTAGATAACAACCAGCATTTTTTTTTAACCAAAAGCTAATACAGGCTATAGAACAAAGATGTAACATGTGCAAAATGAGGAATGCTCATATTTGCCTGTGTCACCACATTCTTCAACAATTGGAGTTTATTGATGCTGTTCAGGTGCAGCCCTATATAGAATATATTGCATAAGTCCTTATGTGAGCTGACCAAGCACAAGTGATCATGCTGTTTGTTCTGGAGGCTTACTAAAAGCAAGGAACAACTGCTATGAGCACTGAATAATGAAAAGAGAAATAAAGATGTCAGTTTCTCCCTTTCCCAAATTGAATCATGGAAATAAGAAAAGTTATTATGGGGGCCACAATGTCCTACAGCAGGAAATTAAAATGAGGATGAAACTTTTAATACAAATTTGTTCCAAGGGAAAGTCTGAATCTCTGTTTAGGCTGAACCTGGATCAATCTGCTTATCTTTTGTACAGAATGACTTCGAAATAAAGACAGCAGATAGATAATCTGCAGCTATGAGTACACAATGGCAGGTAGGTCATAACATGACAAAACAAGTCTTGTTGCCTACAAGAAGGAATGAATCATTAATTAGCTCCAATAGTTAAGGCATCAACTAGAAACCAGGAGATTGTGAATTCTAGTCCCACTTTAGGCATGAAAGCCAGCTAGGTAACTTTGGGCCACTCACTCTTTCTTAACCCAACTCCCTCACTGGACTGTTGTGAGGAAAACAGGAGGAGGAAGGAACATTAGTTATGTTATCCGTCTTGAGTTATTTATAAAAATAATAAAGGCAGGATAAAAAAATAAAAACTTTTAAAAAGTCATCTCAGAATATAAATAGTTACCAGAATATAAATAGTGACCAAAACCGGTCACACTGAAGATATCTTACCTGGGTCCGTTACTGTCCCTTCTCTTGGTAGAAGAGTTATTCTGCTCTGCTTTTGCACTCCTGTCCATATGCTCACTGGCATTTCTCTCCACAATCTCACCTTCATCAAGTGCTCTGTGAAGACGGTAGTTTATCATCTTCAGAACAATGAAGAGAGCTGCTATCACTGGGCAGTAAATTGCTACTATCAACATGGAAGAAGGAAGAGCCTTTTGAAAAAGAAAAAAGAATTGGCTACAAGGAGGAAACTAGGGAAATTATTTTCAAACATTTAGTTACATACACTTTGAATCTGGTTAAGAGTACTCACAACTTGTCAAGTACAATATATTCAGGCAGTAATTAAAATATAGTTAATAATATAAATATACATTATACATGAAAAGAAGCATAAGTTACATCTAGACCACAGGTCGGCAACCTGCGGCTCCGGAGCCGCATGTGGCTCTTTGAGCTTTCCCCGGTGGCTCCCAGCCTCCTCTGCCTTTGCAGAGAGAGACAGAGAGAGGCAATTGCGCTTCCCTGCTTCCTTCTCTCTCTCTCTCTCTCTCTCTCTCTCTCTCTCTCTCTCTCTCTCTCTCTCTCTCTCTCTGTGTGTGTGTGTGTGTAAAAGATTGCACTCACAGTGTTCTCCGAGGAGCTGAAAAGCTTTCTGGACGGAGCTCCTCCCTTTGCTGCGTCTCTGCAGGAAGCAGGAAGGGCAGGAGAGAGCTAGCTAGCCCAGCTAGGCTGACTCAGGAATTCTGGGAGTTGAAGTCCATGAGTCATAAAAGAGACCAGGTTGCTTACCCCTGAGCTTGTTGGACAACAGCTTGAAGCTTGCCAGGTGAGCAGCAGATAGGAGAGGGGGGGAAGAAAGAGAGAGAGAGAGAAAGAGAGAGAGAGAGAGAGGAAAGAGAGAGAGAGAAAGAAAGAGAGCGGGGGAAGAGGAGTGGCAGGCAGACCAAGGGCAGATAGAGAGGGAGGGAGGGAGAGAGACAGAGAGAGAGAGAGAGAGAGAGACCCTTTTGACATCTAAAATGAAGATAACACTGCATATATCCTTTTTTTACCTGTATGTGTATGTGTATGTATATGTATATATATGTGTGTGTGTGTGTATACATAAATATATACACACACAAACACACACACACAAACACACACACACCTATAATAAAGGTAAAAAAGGATATATGCAGTGTTATCTTCATTTTAGATATCAAAAGGATTTTGCGGCTCCCGGTGTTTTGTTTTTGGTGGGAAACGGGTCCAAGTGGCTCTTTGAGTGTTTTGGGTTGCCTACCCCTGGTCTAGACCTATGTCTAAATTTTGAGTTTATGTTTTCTCTGGAAAAAAGCATTAATTGTTAAGGACTCTTTTTAAAAATGATACCGAAATGGAAAATGAAAGGAAAAAGGATTATACTAATATTCAGTTACTCTTATGCAGGCTGGACAAATGCAGCCATCCAATCATCCAAAAATGTAATGATAACCAAACAGATGAAATGTAATGATCATCTAAGAGTCTGTACCATGCTGGTTATGGAACGGATCATAAATGAGGTGACCCTATGTCCTAATCCTAAGTCAACATATTTGTTATTACTGAATAAAAACAGAGCACAATGCCATCAAATTTTATTTACGGTAAATAGAGAACTATTAAGAAAGGCCAACATATTCATGACTAACCTCAAACAGGACATTCTCAAAAGCGGAAGACTGATTTAATGTAATTGAAAGAGAAATTTGAGAAAGTAAAAGCTTTTCAATATGCTTTAAGATGCTGAAAACCACAATTCAGCTACAGCATATGCAGCAAGGAAGTAGAAGGAGCGTAAAGTCCAAATCACCAGTTAGCTATTAAGAAATAACAAAGCCATTTTTATGGTAGATATCTCCCAAACTAATGTTCAACACACCTGCAGGGCATAACATCCACCATACTCATATACATGCTTCTATCCAGTCTGCACCAATTTTGGCTGGCGGGATCCAGGAGAAGAGCCTTTTCTTGCACAGCCCCCACCTTTTTAAAGGAGGTAAGATCTGTCCCCTCTCTTTTAGTCTCAAACTAGGAAAAGCCTCAAAACGTGGCTATGCCAGTTGGCTTGGAGTCCTGAAGTAGAAGCTGCTGGCTGGAGGTGGTTGGTACAATAATAGAGAAGGCATCACCACCTCTCCACTCCAAACTCAGGTGTTTTTTTTTTTTACTTTATATTATATTACATTTATATTAATCTGTTTTTATAGTTATAAAATAAGAGTCGCCTGAAACTATGAGATGGGCGGCAAATAAATTTAATAAAATAACAATTGCTACAGCTGAGTATGTGCCAACTGTCCTGCCCAAAAGACGGTATCTTTACTCTCTGGACTCTCACCCATTCCTGAGTGAAAACAGGACGTTTTACCTTCAATTATTAGCACGTGAATGAATATGTTATATATGTGAATAATCAAATGTCATGCATGAGTTTACTACCTGAGAGACAGGTTCATGTGGTCAATCAGAATAATCTACCTGACTTAAAGGCAAATAGAGGGTAGAGAGCTTTATGTACAAATAAAAGCACAGGTTATGAAATTCTAATGAACTCTCCAGCTGGAAAAATCTTGAGCACAATTTTGGCCTTCTACATTACTTTGACCAACAGAATGGTACAGTATTTAATTTTTGTCTTATCAGCCAATTACAGGATCCAGACAAGCTTGTTTTAATAATGGCTGTTAAGAGCCCTGACTGGTTCCAATGTGTATTAGCTTTGAAGAGTAGAAATTGTGGTAAATTAAATCACTGAGTACTTTAAGCTCTAACTTAAAAATAGTACCTATTTGGCAAAGAAGTTAGATTAGATATGGGCATTGGGTATTAGATATTAGTGAAATGCTGAATTATCTATATTTGCACTCTTCATCTAGTATCAATTAAATATGAAAAGGTTATTTAAAAGTATTTTGAAAAATGATTCTATTTTATAGGTATATGTTTTATATTATATATCATCTCCATCACTATTCTACTCAAACATCAATTACTGTTCTGAATTTGTTAGCCTTTTCCTCACCATTCTTGACCTCTAATATATAAATCGATGGGTTTTTTATTTTTTACATGTCAGAATTATATATCAATTTAGATAAAATGTCTTCTGTTGCAAACTTAATTATCTGCATGGGTAAGTAAATGGGCAAGTAAAAAAAAGGAATATCACTATCTTTGCTTTAAAAATTAGTAAAAACCCCTTATTGATGCTTCTATTTATATTTCTTCTGCATGTTGTGGGAATCAGAACTCTGAAAAAACAAGCGTAATTCTGACAATTCTATTAAGTACTTCTTATTGTTTGAGTTGTTTCTAGAATTTAAGAAAGCACACTTTTTATTAAGATTTACAATGAGGGCCATCTTTTTATTTCACAAAGGATAGTTTGGAGTAAAAATTAGTATTTTAATATTTGCAATTAATCATGTAACCCATTTGTCACATTATTAATTCAATGTATTCTAGAATTCATGGTATCATAACACTTTTTTGGGAAAAGTGACACCTTATAATTTCTTTTTGAAGAAATTGTGCCTTGTCAAACTGGCTCAAGCTTACTTGCTCAACATGAAGCACCATGGTAATGAAAAAACACTACAGTACCCAATTGCCTCAATTCCACAGAGGTCTACTTACTTAATGCTGCAACTCCTTCAGTTATATTAATGAACACATCTTAGAATGCTCATAAACGTAACTGATGGTGCAGAAACAATAATGAATATTCTTTCAGTAGAATTTTTTTTTAAATAATAGCAGCAATAATACAAGTACGATACCCTAAAATCAGAAAAAATTATTTAAGCCACTTCAGATGACAAGTCCTTAAAGAATGCTTCTGGACTATGCACAGGAGTAGAAGAGCCATTAACTTGAAAAAGGAAAGGTAAATCTTTATGTATCCTCTAGTGAGAAATTGTTATGAATTATTAGCAAGCAGTGATTAAGAATACTATGAAATTCAATATATATATATATACAAGAAAAAATTGATAGAGAGAGGTTAAAGAGAGAGATTTTTGACAAACTTTACAATAGGAAAGAGAGGCAACAAAATATTCAAACGAAGTAATGGAGGCCAACTGTTGATATTTTTGGATGGAATGGTCTTTGGAAAAATGAAGCCCATTTACAATAAATACCCCTTCTTGATAAACATCAAGAAGTCTTTAAGTAGAAGCCACTCTAAAATAAGGAAAAACACAGAAGAACAAGTGTAAAAGACTGATAAGGCAGAAGAAAAAAATTGAGGGGCAAATAATATGAAATTGTCCAAGCACGTAATCAGGGCTTGAGTAAGATTATTATTAGATTTATTGAATTCTTACACAAAGAAAACTTAAGACTGCAGTTTCAAAATGACAGGAAGAGAAAATTAGATAAAAATACAGACCATAACCCAATATTTGTGAATGAGGCACAGTTCCATCTATATCAAACAGTAATGCCAAAAGAAAATTGTGTGATGTAGTTGACTAATTACAAGTTCATTAATCAATAGTCAGATGGTATATTCCATATCAAAAGTAACACTGAGCTTATATTTTGACAAGAATAACTTAAAATATCCTATCTTCAATAATACTAAAAGCCTTTTTAAAGTAGTACTCCAAGAAACTAATAGGAACGTGTACACTTTGAGAATAATTCTGTTCCAAGAAACCAGGTGCAATGTCATCACAGTTTGAATTATTAACACATGTAAAATAATTTTATGGAGAATGAACCAGCATTAACTCTAAAGAGGGATGTTTTGCCTCATCCAACTAAGAATATAAAATATTAGGAAGATAAGGCTAATCCAAAATCATCACAATTTGGTTTAGAAATAAATATATTTTATCTCAGTGGAATTTCTGGACAATGCAGGAAGCCACCAAAATTCAAAATTTAACCCAATTAAGCTACCCAAAATCAAAATATAAAACTACATCAACCAGATTTAATTTTAAATCTCTAAAATCCTTTTTTAATGCTCATGCAATAAGTACTTTAACTAGTTATTGAAAAGAAGCCAAAGTTTGTACTAATGCTGTAGGTGTACAGCAAAACAAGCTTAAGACACTGGCATTGACTAGCTGTTTCCACATGTTAAATTATTTTTTTTCCACATAATGAACAGAGACTTTTTCCATTCTCAAGTTATGGACAAATGAATTTAGAAGGATAGAGTCCTTCA